ACTCACAACAATCTATATGGTATTAAATTTTATATATTCAATTGTAAAAATTGTTTTAGTGTAGAGCTTTGATGAGAACAAATTGAAAAGAAATATTACTTCCATTATCTTGTATGCTTAATGCTTTAATGGAAAATAATATTATTTCTTTTAAATAACTTCTGAACTCTAATTAAGATCTGATTGATTATTTATTAGAAATAATAATTAATGTCAACTGGAGCAGCGTTGAAAAATGAAAATGATTAGAATGGTAATCAATGAACAATTGATTTAATCTAATTTGTGACTTAACAATAATGCACACTCATCATAGTACACAAGTTTGAACTTGAGATTGAATCTAATTTGTGCAATTGAGTATGATACATTAAAATCACTTAATCAGCTTTCACTAGTTTGTTTAGCTGTTTGTTCATAATGAATTTTTTTTTGATTTAACGCCAAATCGATTCGGTATTATTATCATTATCTCAGTCGTAATGTTTAAACAAATGTTAGTAGGTTTTTAATTTTTTTTTCTCAGTTTACGTAATTTCATGCAGAGAATTACTGGAAAGTAAGTAACCTTATATTTTTTTCTCTTCAAATCAGTATACTTATGTTAATTTTAGTAAATAATTTATAAAATCTGAAATAATTTCGTGCATTAAATAAAAAACCATATTAAATTAGAATCTATATTTATGTCTATGAATATATTGATGGTGTATTGTTAAACCAATATGATCATTACTGAATTACTTGGGAAAAAAAATCCAATTAGTGTAAAGAAATGACTGATGAAAGTGATTACGTGATATTATTGTTAGATTATTATTAATTCACAACTGTTTTATACATTACATTAAAACAAATACTGTGGTGTGAGCTACTTATAAGTAGTATATGACGTGAGTGTCAACGTAATGTCTGGCAGCAGAAGATGGGGGAAGATTAAGAAAGGAAGAGTTAGAAAACAATGGAATTTGTATGAAACGCATGAATAGTGACAATGGATTAATGTTTTGCAACAGGAACAGTCCAGTTCGATAGGATGGACTGATATTTTGCAAATTAACGATTTACGATATGGTTTTCCTGTTTTACTGAGTAACTCTGTAATTTATATATATATAATATATATATATATATAGATACATATATATATATATATATATGTATATATATATATATATATATAAATCGTTCAATTAGTTTGATTACAATGATATTCTAATCGTTGTATGAAAGAAGAATTAATTACATGATTGTTAATTTTATTTACACTGAATTGATTTTGCTGATTGAATTTAAATTGAAATTATCTCATAAAAATTCCAAAATCAATGTATTCTTATAAGTTTTGCATAAATTACACGATAAATCTGAAATTTAACAACAATAAATGCTAAATTACATTTTATTAATTCAATTAACGATTGACTCGAATATTTCTTTTTTGTATGAAAATTAAAATAAAAAAATTGTTTCATCAATTCATTCAACAATTGATAAATGATTCAAAATATGAATCATGAAAATTGTCGAAGAATTTAAAATAATTAATAAATATCTTTAGAATAATTTTTATATTTCATGTTTTATCATCAATTACTGAATTGTAAAGTTTTGTAAAAGTAAAATAATCACTATTGTCAGAACGATATTAGTTAAATTGTTCAAGAAAAGTTAATCACTGAATTACATATATTCAACTAATCACTTGAATTTTACTTTGAACTTTCTTACATTTAAACAATCGAAATGCAAATGAAATGAATTGTTTAAATATAATAAAGTGAACTGTAAAATTTAGTTTGATATTGTGATGATATTTAACAATTAAGGTTCATATTTTAAGTAATTTAATGCTAAATACATATTGTACAGTTGAAATTCCAAGTATGATTACCATCATATTATTAGTTGTAAAAGCTTAGGAAACTATTACTTGTACATTGGGTTTCTTTATTTAAGATTCAGTTCTTGCCAATAAGGAATAAACAATTTCAAATTACACATTTGCTTCGAACATATTTCTAAAATTAAAATAATAATCTTAACATTTTTTTAAACATTCTGTTCATGTTTTACAAATATTAAAATCTAGACATTCCTTGTAAAGCCTGAAAATGAAAGATTAAGTGGTGAATTGTGGTTAACAGTGCAATCCAAGATGCTTGTTTTGTCCTATTTGGGACTGCTCAGCTAAATGTACCTGTATATAGAAGTTGATGTTCACTCTGGAACTCGAATGCAGTATTTTACACTTCAAGCGTCATCCCGTTATTCATTTAGTCACTGAGTCAAGAAAGCCATTACCCTGTGCAATGGGGCAAAGACTGATTTATTTTTATTGCTATTTTGATTCTTTCCATTGATATTTAGGACTGAGATTGATAATTCACTTTTATGAGTTGCTCCCTCAGTGAATATCATATCTGAGATTCAGGAGCATCCGTCTGACGAATCCTTTATAGGACGAAACGCATGTCCTGGATTCCACTGTTAGACAACATTAACCTCTGCTAATAATGCGTGTAACCTTATAACCATATCGTGGTAATCCGCATAGGATGTACATGTGCTAAAAAGACTCATCGATTTCTGTCCTAAATATCATTTGGAAGATTTTATGAAGAATCACAAATGAATGAAAGATGTAATATTATGTGTGAACTAAATATAAAAAATTATATGATAAATTCTCATTGACTGAATTGAATGTCATACTTAGCAGTGAATAAGTAAGTAATTATTCAATATCTAAATCACTGTACTACGATGATTATTTGTTCAAACGAAATGGTATGACAATATGTTAAAACAAAAAATAGACAAACCAGAAGGTCTGATCTAAATAGTAGTTACTGGAATACATTTCTAAATAGATTAGATAGTAGCTTGTTACATGAACACAAGAGTGGACGGTTTAGTGAATAAGATTTTCAACTTCCAGCCACTCAATCTCAGTTCCGAAACTTCTTTCATCTACTTCAATTTGAGGAACCGAGTAATGTGGTATTATTAGTCCTCAGACTTAGAGTGTGATTCATACTAATAAAACCAGGGAATGAGTCGATTTAATTCAGTATGAACACAAATTTACAATACCGTTTAAAATAAACTGCCATTTAACTATACCTTAAGATATAATGATATTGTATAGACTGTCTAAAAAAAAATTTTTTTTACAAGGTACTTTCACTTCGATCATCTAAATCTTTGATTACCACATCAAACATTGAGTTGCTAGGGTATGTAATGTAATGTACCCTTTTCAATTAGGTCAGTTTAAACAGGAGTGAAAAAACGTACCATAATTTTCGTCCCAATCAGATTATTCTAAAATTTAATTGGTTTAATCAAATGTCATCATTATGAAGAGGGAAGCGAAATATTACGGAAATTAGCGTAAACTGTAACCAATCAAAATATGACATCATTGTTATCAGTTTGATAAAGCTTTAATTGTAAAATAATTCATTTCCTCATTAATTTTTTTGTAAAATTGGTGGAAGATTTTGCAATTGTTTAGAAATATTCCTATTTAGTAAGTATTCTGGTGAATAATAATTAATTTTGTACAATTTTCTGATTTACTTTGTTTCAAAATGTGAAAGAATTATTATGATGGAAATGGTGTTTTACTGCATCAGATGATTCTTTATAGATTGACTATCTTTGGTATGACATATAACCTCACATGTGATGGAACAGAAAATGTTGGAAGTTTTATGAAATTTCACATTTGTTATGAAAGTCAAATTGTCATATAGTTCAAATTTAATCAAATATCATTGATAGATTACTATTTGTGTGTCATAATTTGGTTAGTTTCTAAACTCTCCTTCCTATTCTCCTAGAACAGTGACAGTTTGATCTTGAAGTTAGTCTTCAAAGAGTTTATAAGTATAATACAGGAATGAATGGTAATAGATACTAGCTTATAATCAATGATATTAAAGCATCTCAATAATTGAGATTATCGAGATTTTAAATCGAGTTATAAACTACAGTTGTAATGAAAGTAGGTTTTAAAAGTTAGTTCATAGTTTACTTACCTTGTACTCTGAAATGAACTCATAACAAAAATCCTTGTTTAGCAAAAAAGATTAAATTGACCAGCCTAAAATGTTTGTGAAGATTGTTCCATTGTATGTCAACTATCCTTGGTTGACCGCTTCAGTTGACAAGATGGTTTTTGATACGAGTTTGAAACTTTTAAACACTGAAAACTAATTACTTCATTTTAGTTTTTAGCTATTCATTATATGCATGCATAGGTATACATATATGTTAGCATAGGATCATACTGTATGCCATACAAATAGCTCAGTAGTAAGTAATATCTCAGACTAGAGAGCTACATGACCAATTTTTGAATCCACCTGGGAGCAGCGATTACTTCAGGATTGAAGGCACGCCTTAGTGATTTTTACCAGTGAGAAAGAGCTGTGGATTCAAGGTATCCTGTCCACCAACCATCTAACGTGAAAACGTAGTGTACATTGGTATCGAGTCAATTAAACAAGTATCCGCAGTGAAACTTGATGAGTAAACTTTGGTCGGATCTAAGGACCAAATAAGTACAACACTTAATGATTGATAAACTATAAATATTGTCTCATGTATGTTTTAATGGCATGTATTAATAATTGGTGAACGTATCAGACTTGCTGAATTTCAATCATTCAGTCAATGGTAAATGTCTTTGAAATTTTATTGAATTAGGGATATAATTTAGTAATTATACCACTTATAAAAAAGTGCCAGTGAGTTCTCAGGACAAGTCGATGATGATTACTTGGATTGTAAGAACGATTCAATCTTAATGGATTTTGGACTATAAACTTTTCAATGCATCAACTTTCTAATCTTTTACTAAATCAGTGAGACAAAAAATTTCCTTCAGTTTACATTGACCCGTAAACATAATCTGTTTTGATTTATTAAAAAAAATTAACCCATACTTCTAATTTTATTTTACAGTAAAACAAAAGGTAATCACGAAACCAATGAGTTTCACCATTGAAACGTTGTTGAAAATAGATCATTCATCATTTAATGATTTGAATGAAGTCGATCAAGAATCAGACCATTCCAGCATTAGACATGAAATTAACGACCTGCAAACATGTCAGTCAGATCATCTATCTCATCGTCGAGGACGAAATTCTGGTAAGTTAAGGAAACTTTAATGAAGAGCAAATATTTGTTTAAAATGTAATTTCCAGGTAATCTAAATAGCTTAGTGATTGAACATCGGTAAACGTTTTATCCAATCACTCATACCAGATAACTAAATGACAGTTTATAATTTATGGAGTAAACATAATAATTGCTTTTTTCCACTTGAAAAATGCTAACTAACTTTGATTTATAGTATTGTCGACTAAAAGAATGAAAGGAAACATCTATTATTTATAAATTTTCGAAAAATTTTTATATAACCTGTTTGTTTATTATGTTTACTAATTTGTGACTTTGAATTCATTTAGAAATACGTCAATTATTTATTTACAAATTATTGATTGTAGAGTCAAAGTTTCAACAACACAAAGATTCATCATTATCAAACACATTGAAATTAACCCCTTATTCATCTCCAATTAGTCTACATTCTTCAAAATCAACTCATTTGGATAATAATCAAAGTATACTTTTATCTTCTAGTCCATTCCAACAATTCTTATCACAACAAACAATGTTATCTCCATCCTCCTCTTCCTCGACATCATCATCATCCTTGTTCAGTACTTTCTCTAGTCCATCTCATTCAATTACAATGCATAATATTTCTAATAAATCACCAATTACGTATGAAAAATCGAATATAATCAGTGAACATGATTGTCAATCCAATGTAAATATTCATCATCCTCAACATAAAATAAGTACACTTGGACAGTTCAATTCGTCTACAACTAAAAATGACCGAAATCCGACAAATGAAATTACACCAACTAACACCACCATCACCACTATGAATGATTCTACTACTACTAGTAGTAGTAATAGTAATAGTAGTAGTAGTAGTAGCAGCAGTAGTAGTAAAACTTTGACAAATGATCATAATTTTTGTAAAAATTTGAATAAAAAATCAATAAACCACCTTAACATAAATAATCATCCTGAACACCACCAATATCATCAGCATACAAGTTCAAAATGTACGATGAGACCAAGACGTTTAAGAACAACATTTACTACATATCAGCTGCATACATTAGAAACATCATTTCTACTCAATCAATATCCAGATGTTGCAGCACGTGATCAGTTGGCAAATCAATTGAATTTGTCAGACGGTCGTGTACAGGTAAATGGATGAATAATAATATATGTGTAATAAGTATGTTGTTGACTCGGGGTTTCAAGAGATTTATAATTAGCCTTAATGCATATTATATGATTTCCAATCAATGTAATTTCCATTCTGATTTATTGATTGATTTCATAGGTAATAATGTCAAAATACTGCATAACTAACTACTATCTTACTTAAGTTTGTTTGGTAACGTCGACTAACAATTACTAAAACATGAACTAATAACTGTGAAAAATTAATTTTACTTTCATCAAAATACTTCGTAAAAATTCTAAATAATAACTAAAAAAATATTGTTATGGTTTTTCAGTTTTTACTTGTTTTCAAACTTCATACCTATAAGTATTCAATACAAAACTATCAGTTTGAGTTGAATAAAAATTAACTAGGATTATTTACTAAAATACACATGGTTCAAGAATCTTATAGTGAACTATTCATACAGTAATTCGTAATCTGTTAAATTTCGTTGATAGATGTTTGTTCTTTACGGCACTATTGTTGACATGGTGTCCGTCATAAGCCAAGTGCGTATTACAACTAAATCTGTAACCATTAATCGATAATGTTATGCAAGATTATGTGTTGCATTGATTTACTCAACTACAGTGCTATCAAATTGACATTGATATTATTGCAAGTGATTATGAGCAACACAACAAAATTAGCATTGCTCAATACTGAATCTTAAAAATTATGAAATAAGATTTAGAACTAATAATATATCTTCTGAATTAACAATTTTCTGTTTACTTATCATTCTATTATTCTAATCACATGCAACTGAAAGTAAGTTGATTCACAAGAAGAAACTAAGCAAAAACTGCTTAATTCAGCTTATTCAACGTCAACGGTTAATGAACATTGTAAAATTTTAATTATTATTAGATTAAAGTCAAATATTTAGTTGGTAGGTGACTACTGAATCGTTTGATGAGAATTCATTCAAATTTTTTTTACTTTGATTCATCATTGATCTCAATCTATAACTACTTTAGTGTTTTAAGTAGTATCGACTAATTCATGGTCCGTGATCTCAATAAAATTCAACAATCTCCATTATTTCATATTGATAATATTGTGTTTTTCTTATGAAATATTTTTAACAAAGTTAAACTATTCTTCATATAATTGACCGAATTTCAATGCACTGAATTCATGATGACAGATAAACAACATTCTATCTTCAAATAATTCTAACTGGTTCATTAGATTTGAAAATCATCACATACAAGTGTACATTGTGTGCATTCTAGAAATGTTAAAAATAATTAATTCAACTTCAATTTTAAAGCTGTTCAATGAAATGTGTTAAGGATTTTTCAAGTAAATCGATAGATAAAAGATTGTTTGTCTCTGTAACAAAAACAAACTCTTGTTAAATTAAATTTTTTTCTTATAGAAAAGTTTGTCACACAAACCCAGTTACAAAAACTAATTATTAGTAATAATCAATCATAGAGTATGAATAGTCCCAATCCACTTCAATTCATTATTTCGAGTTCGAATTATCAAGTTATGCATGTTCATGTTCTCATCAATCAATTAAAAATCAGATTAAATTGTTTTTTTCCCAAAATAAAACATTATTCAAATATGGACAATAATGAAATTTAAATTTTAATCTTTTTTATATTGTAAAGAAAAATCTCCTATTTATTCATTGGTGATTATTCTTGATCAATTGATTTACAAATGAAATCACCTCTTTAGTGTATGTATCCACTTCAACATATATTTTAATTAATTCATCCTGATACTTTACATACATGTAGTGTATATACATTGTGCATTGAAATATTTAATAAAATTAATTTGTAAATCAGTTAATTTATCATTGAATTTGTTTGTTTGTTTTAATCTTGCCTAAGTTTAAGTGATGATTAAAATCTATCTGAACACCTTGACTACTAAAAACACTTCAATTTTTTTTGTTCATTGCCAAAACGGAATCATAGTTAGTTACCTAGTTCATTTTTATGATTAACATTTTGTGTGTTGATGTGTATGTGCATGTTTGTGTAGATGGGATTAATTAGGAAACTGTCATAGTTTCATGCATGACATTCTGTGTGTATATTTGTGTGTGCATAAATATACATTGATTTCTTTCTAATGAATTTCATTTCATTTCAGTTTGAAACGAATGAAATGCTCTTGTCACCTTTCTTTAAGTGTATAATTATTACATGTTAGTTATTATTAAGAGAAAGTGGATAAGTAGAATGCTGTACACTAATAATAATAATAATAATAATAACAATAATAATCGTGTATTATTGTGTGTTTTACATTACATTACAAAGTCGCTACACCATACATTCTTTTAAACGAGAGCGCTCACACACACGCACACACTTACATATTGAAAGTATGAATGAAGTCGTCATTTTCAAGTGGTCAATTTAATTTGACCATAAATCTGAACTTGACTAAATATAAAATCATATATGACACTTAAATGATTAAATCATTCATTGTATCTATGTTCAATGATTCAATGCATTGATGTGTGTGTGTGTGTATGTAATAGTTGTGTCAAGTTTTATATTTGTAGCCTATGAAAATAACATATGATTAATATAATTGCAAAGGATTTTATCACAGTGACATGAATTCATAATGAGGGAATAAAAGTAACTAAAGTGCCAAATTAGTTGTATTCGCTTTAATTTGAGATTTCTTTTTAACTAGTTTTGTAATAATTATCACACTACTGAAATATTCGTTTGCGACAAAATGAACGTCATGTGCATGAACGTGTATTTTTGTACTTTATGTATATTTAAATAAAAAGTGGATAGTGTCTAGCAGTGGAATTTAGGACGTGCATTTCTGCCTTTTTACAATTCATCGACTGCATATACCAGTGCACATCCCAGTGTTGATGTTCATATGCAGACACGAATCAAATAATTTTCTCGACAAACGTCTAAGCCATTATCGACTGATTGACTAAGTCCAGTCCTTAACATTAATATCGAGAAGAGTCAAACACTCAGAAATACAATTAAAGGGTAACTCTTATGAAAATCTTTTTTACTGACACTACAAAAACATTTCGATTTCATTTGATAGACCAACAAAAATTTAGGAAACTTATTGGAATTCCAAGTTACAGTGAATTAAATTAAAATTCAATGGGGTTATTAAAATAACTGATAATAATTTTTTGTCAAATGAAGTGATATTTTCTTTTTAACGAACCGAATTCATTGAATTTATTCAATTACTGGAGTATTTAGATTCTGTTTATTTATTGACTTATACTTTATTTGAGTTGATAAGTTGTTCAAGAACAAACAGAACTACTGTTGTTAAATTGTGACAACTTCACAGTATACGTATAATAAATAGACTTATTGCTACAATACATTGTAACTGTACTATTGTAGCAAATGAACTGAGGCTAGACGGAATAAGGATGAGTTAATGGTCTGAAAATAGAGTAGAAATTAAATTAAATAAAGCAATGTTGATCACTAATTGCCAGATTTGACAAAGAAGAATGATTTATCATTCTTATGATTTCCTAATTGAATAATACCGATATTTAACTTAATAGATCAGTCAATGATCGATATTAAGGACAGATTAATCATCATGAAGGACATTAGTTTGTATCACCTTACGAATATAAGAAACGCCTTGATAGTTAAATATCTCTGTGTTAATGTTTATTCACTATTGAAAATCGAATGAAATTGGAAATGGAAGGAGTATAATTTCACCATCCTTATGTTAAAGTCAGGTGAAGAATGAATTACAGAACTGTGTAAAACAGAGTCAATTATTACTAAATATTATTACTCATTGTTCTTCATATTCAAGCTGAAATGATTCATGATGACTTTAATGTTCACTCAGAACTTTCGGACAGTTTTCTTTTTATTCGCTAGATCAGTGTTACTGATTTTATAATATATTTTCTAATTATCTTCTTTGTTTAACTGCGTTAAGCTGGATATTTTCATGAGAGATAATAGTGGAAAAAAGCCAGCTTTCATTAGGTTTGAAGCCCATTATCCGAAATTCGTTGCATATTTCCTATTAAATTATTGATTTCAAATGTTTCTGTCATTATCAACACAACAAATTTCTTGTAAGAAACCTCTTGACAATTTCCATGAAGTTGCCAAACTTCCTCACGGAAACTTGTGAATCATATTAATGTTTAATATTTGTTTATGTGTTCACACAAAATGAATTACAATATCATGAAAAAATTACAACTGTAATTCAGACATTGTCAACTGTTCAATCTGATTTTGGCATCGCTGAAATTGATTGATCACCATGAAATGATCGACCAATGAATTGTACTAAATTGTATGTTCACTTGTACAGAACTTAGCTGTTCGATTTTGATATTGACAACATTGAATACTGACACATTAAATAAATGTTTGGAAGTTAGCTGTGAAAACTACAGCCTTCAAACTATTCAAAAAGTTTTAATGTATGGTCTAGATGAAACTTTGTAAAACTCGAGGATTTCTTATACAACGAACGTGTTCAAAAACTTGATTGTGACTATGCAAAATGATGACGATGGACACGTCAAGTGTGTGGACTAAGATAATCAAATCGCTATTTGTATTTATATTCATTTAAATTTCGTTGAATTCATGATATATTTCAATAGTAGTTATCTACTGAAGAGCTTTATTATAATTTTTAGCAATGAATGCTTTTATATGATGAGGGTCTTTTATAAAATCAATCATAATATAATGTGTAAAGAATTTCGATAGAACTGTTACATTATTCATGATTGATGATCGATATTGTAATGAAATAATTTCTGTATTTGCAGATGAATAGTATTGCAAAATATTCTACACAATCCATAATTCAATGATATGTTTATATTTGTTTTATCAGGTTTGGTTTCAAAATCGTCGAGCTAAATATCGTAAATACGAGCGATTACATAACGGAAGTAATATTATGAATATCAACAACACTAATGATAATAATAGTCATAGCAGTATAGAAATAAATCACGAACAACATAATACATTACGTGATACGCAAACAATATTGAACACATTCAACACTTATACATCATCAGTTTTGCAACATTTAATTCCTATCGACAATAATGATAATAATTCGACTGTATTAATTTCAGCTGACAACTTATTTCCTGTTTCTATGAAAACAACAGATATTACCTCGAGTGGTTCACAAGAACAAGTTCCGTTACAGAAAACATCAGTGTCAAAGCTAACTGATGGAATCGATGTCAAGGAAACATTTGCACAAACATTGATTGATTCATTGTCAACTTCAAACACAACTATAAAATGGAAGCCTAGAATTGATTATCCTACATTGTTAAGTACCAAAGACTTAGCTACAATTCTGATTGGATTCGATGGAAATCAAACACCATTTCAATTGACACAGTCTAATTTTAAATTATCTAAACTGTAAGGTAGAATTGATTCTTGTGTATCCTGATGTTGATTTAAAAATTGCGCCATTGTAAATAAATTCTCAATAATTCACATTCAATCAAAATCCCTTTAAAGTTGATCGAATGTGCCAAGATAGCGATTATTCTTAAATATTATCTCTTTCTGTTATATGATTAGTCGAATTTACATGAAGTAGTCAGTTCATTGAAATATTCAATATCTCTTTCAACCTCAAGTCAAATTTATTTCAGTTTAAAATTTAATTATTGTATAGATGAAAATCGTTTCATGTTTGTGTAAATAATAATTATACTAAACTATAAATTTAAATTATACACTGAAATAATACTGATTAGCTTTAAATGTTTCCTTAAACGAAGGTTGTGATCATCGTCATCATCATCATCAATAGCACTCGTTTATGAATCATTATTGATAAATTCATTAGGATTCGACTTTATGCACAAATGAGTCATGTTGAAGTAACAGCGAATAAAGTTATAGGATACATCAAACTACTTGTTATTTCATTGAATAAATGTTTCATTAGAACCCTAAACATGAGGTTGATTTCTGTAATGTTATTTATTTTTTGATGATCATCTTCCATCATTATACATGAAATATTATTTGCTATGACTTACAGTCATTTACTGTATCATTTCTATTGAAAACTCGGACAGCAAAATTCTGTTTACACTAAATGTAGTGTGTTGTAATATTAATTATTTTGAAGTTGATCATTTTATAAAGGAATGGTGTCAGTTAGCAAGATGTGAGACTGTCGCAACTAGTTTTTAGGATGTCAACTTCATACATAGTTGGTATACATAATATGTGTGGAAATTTCAACTGAACGAAGGTGTTGTTTTTAAATAACTCCACAACCCAAAGAACCAACTTATCTGATAAAATAATGATGTGATGAAAAGCGAAATGAGCCCAATCGATACATAAACTTTTAAATGTAACGTGCTTGAGGGCTTTGCTGATCTCTTCAAATTTTGGTGGACTAATATGGATTAGGAGTTTCGTGGGTGCAGCTTTGATGGTGAGTGGGTTATATGGGGTTAGTCGATTCAGGAGTTGTTTAAAGTGCTCAAAGACACCTGTTTCGCTGTTCTTTAATGTTTCTGATTATTTGCCTTCCTTGGTTATCACTGTGTGTTCTGGTTTACCATAATTTCTAGCGAGCCTCTGTGTTGTACCATAAAACTATAACAATTTTTCCTCACTTGCAGCCTGTTCCACCGTTATTGTCAATATCCCGAAGAAAGGCTTTTTAAAATTTATCTATGTTGTCCATGGCGTTGCATCTTGACGACCGGCAAGTGGTGATCTGAGGCTATATCAGCTCCTCTCTGGCTTATCACGTTCTCTATTGTCCTTCTGAACATTTGATTGATACAGATGTGGTTGATTTGGTTCTGTGTTGTGAGATCCGGTCAAATCCATGTGCACTTGAGTATGAGTGTATATGAGAATATGGTGCCGGATATGACCAGCTTGTTGAAGGCACACAGGTTTGCAAATCCCTTAGCATTCTCGTTCCTTTCTTCCAGTCGACATTGTCTCATGATGTCTTTGTATCCGTTGTTGTCCTTTCTAACTTTGTCATTTATATCTCCAATTAGAATGTTTAAGTCGTTCAGTATGTATTTTGGTGTAGTTTCGTTCACTAAGTCAGATGTTTTTGTTGCGGACCTTTCTTTCTCAGCACAACCGTCGAGAAGACTAGCACCGGGAACATCTATTCAGTTGCCTCAACGGCGCATCCAAACGTTGAACTTGTCGTTATTTACCGTCCAGATTATAGGGATAGATCGCATAAATTTCTCGGCAGTCCGTTTCCCTCGAGCTCGACTGAGACCTCGTCTGGCTGTAGTTCAAACGTATTTTAAGCGTGCACATTCCAAGCCACATCAAACAGCAACTACGGAATCTCACACTGGGTTTTGTTGTTTCTATCTCACTTTTGGACCCGGTGCCCGTCGTCACCGAGCTCCATGCTCATCCAACGCGAAGAACCCGGGTACCGGCAGGTAAATTTTGACCATTCACTTCAGGTTGGTTGTTTGTTTTATATGCACGATCACCGCACTGATGCTAGGCACCTAGTTGACATAAGTGCACAAGTTCCTGTCGTACCGACTGATGGCGGAAAGCCCTGAGCTACGAAGAATCGACCTCGTGCTGCGAATGGCTTTGTACTTCCTACTCACGGTACACGACAAGTAACTAGCAACTTGAGTAATTAACGACGGTACCCGTGAAAGTACATCTTTGCTAATGTTCCCACAGTCATACGTGGAATCGATCTCCTACAGCACTACGAATTGTTAGTCAATTCACGTCGATTTTTCGTCGAATATGAAATTCAGGGATCTCTAAGCCTAAATAGATGTGTACCGAATTATTGGTGCATTTTCTCTGTATGTGTTGGAGATGTCAGGTCCCCAGAACTCACTTTGAAAGGTTGTAATTTTGTAATTTACCGCTGAAATTTTGATATTTTATGCTTCCCCTCACAAGGCGCTTGGACGACCTTCAGCCTACATTCTCACCCCGAAAATCCTTGACTGTTATTAGTTGATGGATTATTTTAGTAGGCTACTTTGTGACTCTGTCGTTGTACAAATAAGTTTGATTTGTGTGCTTAGCAACCTCGTATTTCCTGGGTGCTTGTAGAATACATTCTCTATGACTTATCAAGACTCCTTGCTTTTGTTAGCAGAGCCTGGGACAACGGATGAGAATAGCTTATCGTGTCATTGTATCGTTGAACTTTGTTCCATTTTCCGAGTAAGCTGAACTCGTAATAGCATTCAAGCGAGTGAATCAGTATGAAAATGTATTTCATGCTTTTATTGGACGAGTCCCCGAGCTAACTTTACCTCTCGAGGAGACTTCACGGGTGACCAATCGTGTGGTGCGTAAAATCTTCACCCACGAACCCCTTGTCATGGCTAAACCTCTCCAACTGGCACTGAATGTTGCTACTCATTGGCCGCACATAAAGTGTAACACGGCATCACTCAAGAATTCGACCATCGATCTGTTGCGAGCAAATCATCAGATCACAGTCGCTCCTGAAGATATCGAGAAAATCACTGTCTAGAGTCTTTTTAGTATTTCTGAGTTTCTATGAACGCTACTTGGTTTACGGAATGCTGTTCAAACTTTCCAAAGGTATACAGACAGCGTAACACTAGACGTCGACTTTGTTTATGTCCATATTGATGACCTTCTAGTCTTATCATCAAGTGCAGATGAAACATACCAAAGAACAAGAATCGAGCGCAAAGAAATCGATTGGTTTACACTGGCTCGTGAAAAAGTTACTCGATATATTGGATATTGGACACTTAACACTGTAATTCCAGCGTCTTTCCAAAAACGGAATAGTCGTTAACCGATACATTTGCGAACTTGGCAAATCTAAATCAATATTCCATGGCCACTGCATTAAGCAAGAGTTATTCTACCCTGTGGGGATAAGGTACGTGCAGTAATCATAATAATAATATACTCCCAAATAACAACATGTTACAAGAGGCATGGCAATTCACAGGCAACATTAAAGTGTTAAAATCTTCAGTAAAAGGTTGTTCCGTTACGTAAATATTTCACAAGATACATTGGCTTCATATCAATGGCTAAAAAGTTTCACATAAAGTTATAGGTGTTTCAGACTCTGCAATGTACAATACGATAGTTGGCGTGAGTTACGACCGTTACCTTACGATGAACCATTAATGGCTGAGAACCAATGAAAAGTAAATCCAGATCTGCATACGAAAAGAATTGGTGAGGTAAACGTGCACAGATCTGGTTGATATTCGTCAGATAATAACTTTAAAATCTCCTAGGAGAAGTAAGCGAATCTTCTGCAGTTATCCAGACTGATATTTAAGAAGCAGAATAAGGTGCTGAAAAAGAGAAATAAAGGGAAAAGGGTGAGGAGCAAGATAGAAAATATTCTTGTTTACACCTTAGTCATTACTCAACAGATAATATCTTTAGATAAAACAAAGGTATAATTACTCAGTCCTTTTTGTATTTGGGCACTAACTGCACACCTGCAGATAAGTCATTAGTAAGATAACGAGTGGAAAAATAATCTTACGAAGGAGGGAATTCAGAAGAACTACATTGTTAGGAATAACACTGATGTACAGGATATAATGATGAAGGCATAGTGAACTGATACTTTAGTGATATTTTATTTATTCTTTTTCTTTTTAACACTGTAGCTTCAAAAGCAACGCTTTAGCTCTGTTTTACTATACTTTTCTAAATCTGTTTGTAATAGGATTTCTTGGTAGGAAGTGAAACCAGTTCACGGGTACAAACATGAGTCGAAGACGTGGTTAACAAGGAAAAGTAACATCAATATCATGGATCAGTTACATCCTGCTACGTTGTAAGGAGCCGTAAGCAAACAAAATGTTCTGTCCCACAAACATGGGTAGATTGAGGTTATTGCATTACCGTCGTGAATGCTGGCCAGTAATGAAGTACACTTCACCGTCCACACTCAAGTCACTGGAGGCACTCCTCGATTTGCTTTACGGAAGCAGTACGCTCTACAACCATTTAGTGCCAGGAAGTACCGCTGACCGCTGGCCAAGGTGCTATCCTGTGTGATACTTCTGCGGGTCTACCTCAACCTACCGTACCCTCTACTTACCGTTGTCTGGCATTCGACGCCTTTCATAGACTATCTCAACCAAGCATCGCAGCCACGTTACGTCTCATCGCTGCACGATACGTCTGAACGTCCATGTCCGTATGTGGGTAAAGTAATGCTAACAATGTCAACAATCTAAAATGCATAGGCAGGCGGCAGTCCCTATATGCAAGTTTGATATGCCTGATACTTGCTTTGATCACGTTCACATAGATATTGTAGGAGATTTGCCATCTTCACATGGGTATGATCTCATACTCACGTCTTGAATCCGTATGGTCTCAACTCTGGTTATTATGCACGTTTCCGGTTTCTCGGATCAACCG